AAAACCCTGAAACAGAGGATCCAGCTAAGTGTCCCTGAGTACAGAAACTGTGAGGTAATAAATATGCGGGGTTTTTTTTAAAAGATTTTACTTGTTTATTTGAGAGAGAGAGAACATGAGCAGGGGGAGAGGCAGAGGGAGAAGAAGACTTCCCGCTGAGCAGGGAGCCCGATGTGGGGCTCCATCCCAGGACTCCGGGATCATGACCTAAAGTTGAAGGCAGCCCAAAGCAGAGCAAAGTACTGTGAGTAGCTCAGCTAGTTTTCCCCTCCCTGGATCTGAGAGCCTCTCCCAAGTTGGTCACTCAAATAACACGCTATAAACAGAGTTTACATGCTGTAGCTCTAAGAATATTCCTAAACAGTTATTCTTTGTAAAGTGCTTTATGGTCCAAATCAGAAAATAGCTGTCCCATCCTTGGGGGGTAGCACCTCCCCCACACTGATCATTTGACATTGATCAGTCCCCCATGGTTGTTTACGAGTTGCCTACATGCTAACTTGGACACCCTCAGGAGCAGACCCCACTCTCCGGCCAGCGCTCACATTGCCTTCAAAGGGGCTCAGGAGTCTCCTGGGCCACACGTACAAACAAGGGTTCACAATCAATTTACTGGGAAAATACAGTAACACTGATTTACTTGACCAACTTATCATTTGATAACATAGAGAAGCAGAATAATGGAGTGATGGGGAGAACAGTCTCATAAGCCAAACAGCTTGAGTGCAAGTTGAAGCTCTAGCACTAACTGTGTCTCAATTTTCCCATCTGTGAAATGGGTAGCATGATATAGTACTCTCCACGTGGGATTGATTAAGTGATTAAATGAGTGAGTGAGTTACTACTTCTGAGACACTTAGGACAGCCCTGACTTTCCACTGTTAGTAATCTACCTGTAGCTTCACAACAACTTTGTAAGATAGTATGATTAATGCTCAATTTAGAGATGAAGAGGGGTGCCTGGGTGGCACAGTCCGTTAAGCGTCCCACCCTTGGTTTCTGCTCAGGTTGTGAGATCAAGCCCCAAGTTGGGCTCCCCGCTCAGCAGGGCGTCTGCTTGAGAGTCTCTCTTTCCCTCTCCCTCTGCCCTTCCCTTCACTCTCTCTCTAAAATAAATAAACAAATCATAAAAAAAATTCAGAGAGGTGAGACAATTTGCTCAAGGTCACAAACCTAATGGTGCCGTGGTTGGTATTTGAACTCAGGAATGCTCCAGGTACAGCCCATCATTGAAATTCTGGAATTATTTCATTCATGAGCTCCTATCATGCGCCCCCGCTGCAGATATGGTGAATGACAAGAGAGTAATGTCTTTTGTTTTAGCTCAGGAGAAGAGGGGAGTCACAAAAACAATTAAATTAAAACAAAACAAAAAACCAAGATTTTTTTTTAAAAAACATCCTTAAAAAAATAATAAATAAAATAAATTTAAAAACCCCAAGATGATATCAGATAATCATCATGCAGTGAAGACAATAAAACTGATGTCAAAAGGCAAAAATGGAAAATAACCCAAATGTTCATCAGCAGGTGAATGAATATACAAACCGCAGATTAGTCATTCAGTGGGATGACAAGGAGTGAACCAGTGACACATACAACACAGATGAATCTCAGAACGATGCTGGGTGAAAAAAAACATGCTGTATGATTCTACTTATGTAAGATTCTAGAGAATGCAAATGAATCTGTCTTGACAAACCATTGGTTGCCTGGGGCTAAGGGCAGAGAGAAGGATGAACGGGCTGCACAGGGGAACTTCTGGAGTGATGGAAATGTTCTGCATCTTGATTGTGGTCATTGTTTCATCGGTGTATCCATATAATAAAACTCTCAAATCGCACACTTTCAACGGATGCCTTTTCCTGCATATTAATGAAACCTCAGTCAGGTTGGTTTTAAAAAATGGGACAGTGACTGTAAAGGTCAATAGGACAGGGCTCCTGGAAGCCTCTAGAGAGAATGATGTTTGTGCTGAGATGAGAAGGATGTTCAGGTTGTAAGAAATCAAAGAGAGGAAGCCCAAGAGCACCCGAATATTCAATCCCTGGCAAACCAGGGGCAGGGAGCCGCTGACCCCTGATGCAAGGAGGAGGTTCAGTGTCTAAAGAGAATTTAAAAATAAGAATAAGACCCACCTAAAAGTTTTTATTATCCCCAGGCACTGGCAATTCTAAACAACATCAGTGAGAAAATGCTCTTCCGTGCTGGAGCGGACTGCTCCCACACCGGTGTTTTCCGTAATGGTCCACGGGATCAGAAAATTCTGTGTGGCATACAGTTCACAGTCATTTTTGTTGAATATAGTGGTAAATTGTGATTGTAAGAATATGACTCGTAAGCTTTGATCAGACCTATTTTACTTTGGCAGGACTCTTTCATCGTGCCCTGACTTTGTGACTTTTTCATTGATTTTTATTGAAATTGGACTTGAATAGCTCAGTTCCCTTCTGTGTAGGTGGCATACCCAGCCCATCCGGGCGTGTAATGGTAATGTCAGACCCTGTGGGCCAACTAGCCCACAAATGCCGGCTAATTCAGGAAAACTGTTTTGTCGTTCTCACCTTTATGTTTGTTTTGTTACGTTGGACTGAAGACCATATTCTGAGATTAAGCACAGGCATCTGCTCCAGACCATGTACTGAAGACCTCACACCTCATTTTTACCAATGAAGAAACTGAGACCCAGTGATATGAAATCATTTCTGTAATGGAACAGCTAAGACCAGAATTCAAGTTAGACTTTTTGCCATCCACCATACTGCCCCCACAGCATATTTACTGAATACCTTTAACATGCCCAGTACCGTGCAGGAAGAGACAACCATAGCGGATCTAGAAGAAATGGTCTCTGCCCTTAAGAAGTATCCTCTTTGAGCCCAAGACTAAAAAGCATGAATGCCACAGGGAAATTTATTCAATTACTGAGTACCTATTACGCACCTATTATGAGCTGGACATTGTGATAATGGACCCAGGGTTTTCCGTGGAATCCTCCCCTTCACACCTGTGTCTTACTGACCTTCACAGCAGCACCAGAAAGTAGTAATGTCGGAATCCCATTTTACAGCTAAGAAAACTGCTGTAAAGAAATGTTAAATCATGGGGCACCTAGGTGGCTCAGTCGGTTAATCGGTTAATCGTCTGCCTTCCACTCAGGTCAGGATCCCAGGGTCCTGGGATCGAGCCCCACGTGGGGTTCCTTGCTCAGCGGGGAGCCTGCTTCTCCAGCTCCCCCTGCTGTGCTCTGTCTCTCGCTCTCTCTCTCTCAAATAAATAAATAAAATCTTTAAAACAAACAAAAAACTGGTATTTGTTGAAAGAAAGAGAAAGAGGGAGAAAGGAACAGAGAGAGAGGGAGAAAGAAACAAAGAGAGGGGAAATGAAATGGTCAATGTAATCAAGGCTTAAATGGACTCATGCCTACTCTAAAGAAAGACTCTGACAAACTAAGATTTAAGTGTCATCAAATGTGACCAGAAGAAGCTTCTAACTAATGTAGAACAGTGCTTTTCCGCCCTGGCTGCACATCAGAATCATTCAGAGAGCTTTTGAAAAACACTAATGCCCATGCCCCACCCCTAGAGCATTTGACTCAATTGAACTGGAGGGACACCCAGGCTGTGGTGCTTTATTCCTAATGTACAGACAGAGTGGCCCATTTCTGGCCCGGTCCAGTCCCCTCAGAGGTCCAGAGAGTTGATGTCACGTCTCCATGGCCGGAGAGCTGGTAGTTGACAGAGGCAGGAGATAAACTCACAGCATCGCTGGGTCACTCTAACCTTTATCAGCACTTGATCTCATGAAATCCTTCCTTCTCCCTTAAATTTCTCAGACTTCAGTTTTTCTCGTTTAACAAATAGTTATTAAGCACCTGCCATGCGCCAGATGCCAGGTATACAGCAGTGAGCAAAACAGTTTCCTCTCACCTTGGCCTCAGCAGGAAGAGCCTTCATGCCTGGACCCCTTTCCCAATTTGGACCAGTCGGTCTCCACTAGTCTGTGAATTTCTTGGGCCTAGGAGCCATGAGTTAGTCATCTTTGGAGCTGCGGAGCCTAGCACACTGCCTGGTGTGAAGGCAGATTTGATAAAAGTTTGATGAATGAACAAAACAAATACAAAGGATTCCTAAATCCTCATACATGGAATAAAGAGAAAGTTTCAAGAAGATCACTTTTATTGGTCAGGACTTTCTCAATTCTATGTCATAGAAATCTAGCTTAAATTTTCCCAGTCAAGAGAGGGCATTTACTTGCTCATAAGTGGCAAAGGCAAGTGTACAGAATTCCGGAGCTCAAACCATGTCATTAGGGCTCAATCTCTCTTGGCGGCTCCCAGCTGGCTCAGTTTGTGTCATCTTGGTGTCATTCTTAATTCAGGGCCTCTCCACGTGACAGGCAAGATGGTCCTCCAGGACCCTCAGGTTTGTATCCTCTGATTTTAGCAATCCCAGCTCAGACTCTGAGGGCCCCATGTGGGCATCCCTGAACCAAACACTATCTGGCTCAAACATTCCCCCAGTGCTCTCTGAGTATCTACCATTTGCCAGGCCCCGTGCAAACACGTAGGCTATGAGGGAACACTTGGATAGATGGAGGGATGGATGGATGGATGGATGGATGGATGGATGGATGGATGGATGAATGGTGGATGGTGGATGGATGGGTGGATGGTAGATAGATGGGTGGGTGGGTGGATGCGTAGATGATGGATGGTGGATGGATATCACTAGTATCCAGTGGCTCCACCCAGAGCAGCCTGGGGCTCCCTTGTCCCTTGTTCTCACCCCTTCACCCCAGGCTGTCACTTCACTTTCCTAAAAGCCCTCTCCTTGCCCATGGAGCCATTAGACAGTCTCTCTTGGTCCTCAGGCAACAGCTAGTACTTCCCCTCCCTCCTGCCATCCAGCATCCCGCTGAATCAGGAATCAATACCAGTAAACTGGGTGTGAACGGAAGGAGACGGCTCATTATTTGCCATTATTTACTTCTGAGTGTGTGCATTCTCACCGCTTCCCATTCTCTGTCTCTCCTCTTTCCTTCCCACTTCTTGGGAACTGGCTGTACAAATGCAGGGCTGCATTTGGCCCTAGAGGACCTGCGGACTCAGCGGAGGAGGGCGGAGGCGGCGGGCGGGGGCAGCACGGCGGCGGTGACAGCGCGCAGCCCAGCCGCGCCGCGCCGCTGGAAGCCCATGCCCGGCCCGAGCCGCCCGGGGGTTGCTCATGAGGCCGCTGCCGAGCGGGAGTAGGAAGAACCGCGGCTTATCCCTGGGGCTCCTCGCCCTCTGCCTGGCTGCCGCGCGGTGTCTGCAAAGTAAGCGCCGGGCGGCGCGGGGCGGCGCGGGGCGGCGGGGAGGCTCGGGGCGCAGCGGGGGCCGGCGGGGCGGCGCTGGGGGCGGCGGAGCTCGGGCGGGGGGTGGCGGCGGGGAGGCTCGGGGCGCAGCCGGGGCCGGCGGGGCGCAGCGGGGGGCGGCGGGGGCGCAGCGGGGGGTGGCGGCGGGGCGGTGCGGAGCGGCGGGCGGGTCCCGGGTGTCCGGCCTCCCGGCCACAGGCCCTAGCCCACTTCGGGGGGTTTGGGGGGCGGCCCGGCTGGCAGGGGGCGCGCTGCTTCCCGCCGGGGCTGGGCGCATCCTCTAGGGCGCCGACCGCGGCGGGAGGGACCCGGCCAAGTGGAGGCTCTCCCGGCCCGGCACCCTGGGCCACTTCGGGGTGCCGGCCCCGGCCCCGCCCGGCCGGGCGTTATCAGAGCCGGAAGCCGACGCGGAGATAACCGGCTGCCGGCCCGGTGGCCGCCTCCTCTGCAATATTTTCTATTTCTTTTTCCTGGAATGACCAGACTTGCGGCTGAGGTGTCCCCGACCCCAAGGGCACGCGGGCCCCGCCCTCTACGGTGGGGACCCCTCGCCCTCCCGCGGGCTTCCCCAGTCCCCACGACATTCTGTAGGCCTCCCCCTTCACGCAGACGAACCCGCAGCCGACTCTCTTGAAGAAAAGGGGTTCTGGGGGTTTGGGTTGGGTGTGGGGGCTGGAGATGGTCCTCACCACTGTGCACCGAGTGGCGGGCGTTGGGTGGGTCGGCCCTAGAATCTCCCGAGTTTGATGAGCCTTCATGTAACGCACAGCTGCACAAACTCCTGCCGACACAAACCACAGATTGTGACACAGTTTTACTTTCTCATCTAATCATTAACATTATTGTCATTTGCATGTTACAGATTAGTCGACTGAGATTTAGAGTAACCAGTACAGGGCATTGGAGGTGGGAGGACCTATAGTAAGAGCCAGAACTTATTAAGCATGTGTGCATTCACCATTCCTCGGACTTTACAAGACTTCTATCTTTGAATCCACAAGGCAACCCTCTAAGTGCTACTCTGTCCCTGTTTCACAAGTGGGGAAACTGAGGCACATGAGGTTGTTGCTTGCACAAAGTCACCAGCTAGTCAGTGGTGGTGCTAGGGCCCAAACCCAGGCGATCTAGCACTGGACCCTTCCACCGCTCTGCCCAGAGGCCAGCTTGGGAGACTGCAGATCTCAGAAACCTAGAAGGACTAGATAGGGCATGTACTTCTAGCTGCCTGTTGAGCAAGAAATAACTGGTTGTTAGTCCTTCAGGTAGGTGGGTGTGTTTGGTGTGGCAGTGACCTTTTCAATTGTTTTTCAACCCTCCAATCCGCTTCCAACCGCCATTCTTACACAACATCTGTACAGATGCTCCTGGCACTCAGGGGCCAGCCATTTTCCACACTCTCACTCATGGCACCCTCTACCTGGAGGAAGCAGGCCACAGTGGGGAAACCTAGTTCACAGTCATGCCCCCAGGCGAGCAAACGAGTTGGGAGCTTGCAGTGGTGAGCTGGAAGAGGCAGGAGGTGCTAACGTTCTGGGAGCCACAGAGGTTCAGAACCCCAACTGGAGAACTGGCCCTACTGAGTCATTCATGACCCAGTTCCCAGGAGAACAGGGGAACAGAGAGCGGGCTGAGTCTGGGTCAGGGGAGGGAGTGGATAGGGCAGGAGCAACCCTAGCTAGAATGGAGCTGTGGGTTGTGGGCTCAGCTGGGGGTGGACAGGTGGGAAGGGGAGGGCGAGTCAGGGTAGGAGGAATCTCATTGAATGAGAGATGCTGTACTTGGTATTCAGAAACCTACTGTTTACACCATTTTCTTTTTTTAAAGATTTTATTTATGTATTCATGAGAGACAGAGAGAGAGAGAAGCAGAGGGAGAAGCAGGCTCCCAAGGAGCAGGGAGCCCGATGTGGGACTCGATCCCAGGACCCTGGGATCATGACCTGAGCCAAAGGCAGACCCTTAACCATCTGAGCTACCCAGGCGCCCTACACCATTTTCTTTTCAGCTCTATCCGCATTGAGAAGCAGAGATCTTGCTCATTCCTCTTGACTGCTCTACCTACGTCATCATATAAATGTTCTAGTTTGTACTTAACCAGCCCTGTCCTGAGGGACATTTAAACTTTCAGTGTTTAGCCCCCACACAGGTGAGAGCAGCCGCCTACTGCAGGATAACAAGTATAGTGCTAGTGATAGGCGCATCATCTGGATGACATGGAAGGCTGGGGCCACCTCCAGGCTGACAGGTAGCCCCAGGACACACACTTCCTTTCCACAGGGATAGTGCCCAAAAAAAATGCTTGGAAGATTAAATGAAGCGATTGAGGGAGGGGTAAGGACTTTCAAACAGAAAGTCATCCAGATTTCTTCATTTCTGATCTCCAGGGGAGATCTGATATACTCCGTGCTGGTCTGGAAGAGGGCTGCAGTCAGGAGACCCTCCTTTCTCCATTTTCACCAGGACCTGAGGATACCTCTATATTTCATTCCCTGTAAGACTTTTTCCTTTAACATTTATTTATTTATCTAAGTATAATTGGCATACGATGTTATAGTATCTTAAGGTATACATCATATTGATCTGATAATTCTATATATTACTCAGTGCTCATCATAGTAAGTGTAGTCATCATCTGTCACCAACAACATTATTAAAAAATTATTAACTGAGGGTGCCTGGGTAGCTCTGTCATTTAAGTGTCCAACTCTTGATTTCCCTCAGGTCATGATCTCAGGGTCATGAGATTGAGCCCTATGTGAGGCTTCATGCTCAGTGAGTCTGCTTGAGATTCTCTCCCTCTTCCTCTGCCCCTCCCCACCCCTGCTCACACACGTGCTCTAAATAAATACATAAATAAATAAATAAAATCTTTAAAAAAATAAAAAACGGTTGACTGTATTTCCTATGCTGTACTTTTCATCTCCATGATGTATTTATTTTATAACTGAAAGTTTGTACCCCTGCATCCTGTTTACCCATCCTCCCAACCCACCTCCCCTCTGGCAACCACCAGTTCTCTGTATGTGAGAGTCTGTTTCTGTTTGTTTGTTCATTTGTTTCGTTTTTCAGATTCCACATTTAAGTGAAATAATACGGTATTCGTGTTATCCATGTCTGACTTATTTCACTTAGCATAATTCCCTCTAGGTCCATCCATGTTGTCAGAAATGGCAAGATCTCATTCTTTTTTATGGCTGAGTAATATTCCAGTGTGTGCGTGTATGTATCTCCTTTATCCATTTTTCAGTCATTTGCTGTTGTAAATAATGCTGCAATAAACATAGGGGTACATATATCTTTTCAAATTAGTGTCTTTGTTTTCTTTGGGTAAATATCCAGCAGTGGAATTACTGGATCACATGGTATTTCTATTTTTAATTTTTTAAGGACCCTCCATACTGTTTTCCACAGTGGCTGCACCAATTTACATTCCCACCAACAGTGTCTGAGGTTCCCTCTTCTCCATATTCTCACCAACACTTGTTATTTCTTGTCTTTCTGATACTAGTTATTCTGACCTGTGCAAAGTGATAGCTCATTGTGGTTTTGATTTGCATTTCTCTAATGATTAGTGATGTTGAGCGTCTTTTCATGTGTCTGTTGGCCATCTGTATGTCTTTGGAAAAATGGCTATTCAGGTCTTCTGCCCATTTTAAATCAGGTTGTTTGGTGTTTTGTGTTTTTTTTAGTGTTGAATTGTATAAGTTCTTTATATATTTTGGATATTAACCCCTTATCGGATATATCATTTGCAAATATCTGCAATAGGTTGCCTTTTTGTTTTGATGGTTTCCTTTGCTGTGCAAAAGCTTTTTATTTTTGTGTAGTCCTGATTCTTTATTTTGGCTTTTGTTTCTCTTGTCTGGGGCGACATATCTAGAAAAATGTTGCTAAGGCTAATGTCAAAAAGAGATTTGTGCTCTGTTTTCTTTTCTTTTAAGATTTTATTCATTCATTTGTCAGAGAGAGAGAGAGCCCAAGCAGGGGGAGTGGCAGGCAGAGGGAAAGCAAGGATCCTGACATGGGACTCAATCCCAGGACTCTGGGATCATGACCTGAGCTGAAGGCAGACGCTTAATCTACTAAGCCACCCAGGTGTCCCCTGCCTCTGTTTTCTTTAGTTTTATGGTTTCAGTTTTCACAGTTAGGTCTTTAATTCATTTCAGTTAATTTTTGTGTACGATGTAAGCAGGTGGTCCAGTTTTATTCTTTTGCATGTAGCTGTCCAGTTTTCCCAACACCATTTATTGAAGAGGCTGTCTTTTTCCCATTGTATATTCTTGCTTCATTTGTTCATAGGTTTATTTCTGGTCTTTGTATTCTGTTCTATTGATCTCCGTGTCTGTTTCTGTGCTACTACCATACTCTTTTGATTATTATCGTTTTGTAGTATATCTTGAAATCTGGGATTTTGATACCTTCAGTTTTGTTCTTCTTTCTCGAGATTGAGTGGCTATTGGGACCTTTGTGGTTCCATACAAATTTTAGGATTAATTGTTCTAATTCTGTGAAAAATGCTATTGGCATTTGTTTTAAAAGATTTTATTTATTTATTTAACAGAGAGAGACACACAGAGAGGGGGAACACAAGCAGGGGGAGTGGGAGAGGGAGAAGCAGGCTCCCCGCTGAGCAGGGAGCTCAATGTGGGCCTCTATCTCAGGACCCTGGGATCATGACTTGAGCCGAAGGCAGATGCTTGACAATTGAGCCACCCAGGTGCCCCTATTGGCATTTTGATAGGGATTGCACTGAATCTGTAGATTGCTTTGGGTAATATGGACATTTTAATGCTACTAATTCTTCCAATCTATGGTATATCTTTCCATTTGTTTGTGTTGTCCTCAATTTCTATCATCAATGCAGTTTTTCATCAGTGTTCTTTCATCAGTATAGTTTTCAGAGTATAGGTCTTTCACCTCCTTTGTTAAGTTTATTCATAGGTATTTTATTCTTATTGGTGC